GCTGTCCTTCCCAAGGGAAGATAAAACTACCTTGACAATTTAATCATTCTTGTTTAGCATGAATTATTGGCAGGTAATAGCCCCTGGGGAGCCATCAGGCTCAGGTGAATAACACAGTGACGCCTGAGGCTTAAGCTACTTGCAGTCGCATGAGCTAGCCACTGTGCAGCTAATGATACCATGGTCACCGCTGTCCACCTTCTGCAGTCGAACACACAGAGACCGGAAGACCAAGAGAGAGCCAGGAACCAGCATTGTCCATGCTCTGTACCTCTCCACCAGTCCCCTTGGGGCCAAAGACCCCCTTAAAGGAAGTTCCAAAGAGGCATTTCAATTGTGTGTCTGTAACCACAAAGATTCAAGAAGGGCCCTTCTCCTTCTGGCTAGAATTTTACTATGGGAAACAGATGCAAACCAGAAGGTTTCCAACATGGTGGGCAGGTGGACAAGGGGAACGGGGGCTGCTTTTTCCACTTTCCACTGCCTCATCTTTGGGCTTTCTTTCATTTTTCTCTGCCCTTTTCTGTGCAGTGTTTTTGCCTCCCTTGTAATCCCCCCTTCTTTCCTTTTCCTTAGCACCCTTCCTCCATAGATCCATCTCCAAAGACCATAGACCTCCTCCACAGACCAAAATGGAAATTCTAAGAACTGCTTTTGACTACCCATATTCCCTTCATTTGCCATTAAATCTGAAAACCATTGACATCTACCCTCAGCTTCTATTTATCCCAGTTGACTTGTGCTTATATAAGCCTTGCATCTCCTTAGCAAAGAAGTTCTTCATGTAATTTCAGAGGATTTACAGTTTAAAACCTATTTTACTTTGGCCTCCTTAAAATTCCCTCACATGCTGCCATCTCTGGTGGCTCTAAGATTCAGTATCTCCCACCTCCTCTACATCTATAGGGCCACAATTTAGTTCCTGGTTGGAAGAGGAGATAAAAGGATATTGAAGACCTCCCCACCTTAACCTACGCTTGCTGGCTCCTGACCATGAAGGTGGTGTCAAATGTCTCTAGAAGCCCCTGACTCCCGCCTCTCTCTGTGTGTACCAGCCTAATAATTGTCCTCCCAACTTAGATACCTGGAGTCTCACCAACAAAACCCCAAGCCCTCAGCCTTCCACATCCCATGACACTCTTGCAACTGAACCAGGCATCCTATCTTGCAGATCAAATTGAGATAAGATTAGAGACAGTGGATACAGAGAAGCAGAGAGCAGAGCTTGGGGAGTGGGAAGGGATGCCACCTGGACCCAGATCTTCAGGGGGTCTAAAATGGAATTTATATTAGATCTACCCCCTAAGTTCTGGACAAGAGTACTTAAAAAAAAAAAAAAGCAACATTTCTGTAGCAGGGCAGCTACAGAAGACTTACATGCTCCTGTGACATTGCTTTTGACTCCTGTTTCTGAGGAATGTAGAATTTCAGTGACTCTGATATTATGGTCATTGTCTCAATGGTACCAATGGATTGTGCAGACCTGTTCCATGGGACCTGTCCATGACATAGTGAAGAGCTAGCCTTCCTTATAGGGAATCAGAAGGTAATCTGTACCTTTCAAAGTCAGCATGTCCAGGAGGGTGCAGCAGTGGTGTATGATCTCTTCAAAATGCTCTCCAATGGCCTGATCTTGAGAGAATATTCTGGAAGACAGCTTGGTTGGGTATTACAGCCTAGATATCTACTACCTAGCCTTTAATCCCTAGTAATCCTTGCCTCCTGGCAGTGTTAAAAAAAAAAGAAAGAAAAGGAAGGAAAGGAAAGGAAAGTCTCCTTTTTATATGGTGAAGAGCTATTTTTCAACAACCTTTTAGTTCTCCAGGGAGACTATGTAATGTTAACAACTGGAAGAATCCCCTCCATCTAGGAGAATCCTCTCTTCACCAGCCTCTGGTACTCCCTGAGCTTCATCCTTCAGTGTCTTATGCATGGTCTAAAGATGGTCCCTCAACTAAAGGAGGAGTGAGGACATTCCAGAAACTAAGACTTCATCCACTGAGGTGATAACTTCTCATTTGATCCTGCACTTAATTCAGAAAGACAGTTTTCCAGAGAGTATCTCCTATTTGCTGCCCAGTGCCCTTCATGTTGTCATTGCCAGTCATACCAAATCTAGGTAATCTGCATAAGTACACTGAAGTAAGGTGATTGGGTTTTCCTTTCTATCTGTCCTTAGCCTGTTAGCTAGAACCACTAGCCAGGACTCTTTCTGAAAATGTTCCACCTCTGCCTCACCTATGGAATAATCACATTTCATTTATACAATTGCATGAACAAATTAAGTGCCCAATATCTTTAAACCCCTTGAAAATTACCAGATCGTTAGAACACAAAGATGAAATCATTGGCTGCTCAGTGCCTACCATTACTGGATAGAATGCCGTATGAAAACTCAGCCAGAGTGTTCAGAGTAGGTAAGCAGCTCTGTTGGCTCCCTCTTGAAGGGTAGTACAGGTAGGGTCTCCAGGCTCATGGGGCATGAGTCTTCAGGGAATCTTTTTGCCCTTCTTCCCCAGGAAGACCACAGATAGGGAAACTATAAGCTACCTCAGGGGAACAGGGAAGAAATCTGGGAAAGGGTCAGAGATGGATGGTGTAAGTACCTCAGGCTACCAACCAATTCTGAATTTAGGTCAAAAAGTAGAACCAGTGCTAGGTGGTCTTTCAAGACAGGGTACCAGGGAATCACAGAGAGTAGCAAACGCATAAACATGGCTCTGGGCTAAAGGTGCAGATGCCCAAACCCAGCAGGTCCAGTCTCCCCTTCTAGGTCACCAAGGGATTCCACTTGCAGCCAGGCAGGGTACCAAAGACTGGAATGACTACACAAGATTATCTAGGAAATGTCCTTAGGGGGTTGGCTGTATGTCAGTAGACTGGGTTCTCTGAGGGTGAGGGCTATATGTTAGGCTTCTTCCTATTGTTTCCACTTAGAAATCACCCAATGATTGCTTTCTGATTTTATTATGAATGGTTAGTTATTTTTGAGACCATGGATCTTATGAACATAGTTCTTCGGATATGAACAGGCCTATATGAGACATTGACAAATACTGCTCTAGCAGGTCAACAGTGCCCTCTGAATAGCATAGCTTAAGGCCCAAGAAAAAAATTAATTTGTGATTCTCCAGATTCTCCCGAAGTGAGACTCTTAGGAGAGCTATCGTCACCTGGGCTGAGAACCCAACACAGGAGTCCCAGAGAGCCCCATCCTTCCTCTCCCTACTGCCCTCATTGCTCCTTCTGTTTCTTGACTCCTACCATAGAGATGTATCCTAAGGATTATTAATACATATTATTAAAATAATAAGAATCAAGGTGATTAGAATACACAAACCCAGACGGGTTCTCTAAATTGTCTCCGTTCTGGTCCAGTTCAGGACGGGATTGACCCAGAGGACTCTCAAACAGTTGCCCAGAGTTCTTAGGAGTGATGGGCAGCTTTGGCAGTTTTCAGGATGGAGGAGAGGAGGAGAATAATGGCCCACGCCTGCTGGGAACTCTATCTAATGCTCTGGCATTGCATGTAGTGTAGATTTACCTCCGTCTGACCCTCACACTCCCTCCCTCACTGAAGCTCTAGAAACACAGAACTCCTTAGCCATTAACACACGAGGGCAAGCACTCAAGTGGCTAGAGATGTCTTCCGTGTGTGTGTATGTGTGTGTGTGTGCGCGCACATGTGTGTTTCTATGTTCTATCTCAGCCTGCTAGCCAAATTCTAGTGACCCCACAGCCTCCAGGCCTGTGGACTGACCTGGCAGCTGATATTCCTCCTGAAGCAGAAACCAAGATCTAGAATGTGCTCTGTAAGGGACTAGAGAGGTGTCCCTTCCCTTCTTTTCCCTTGCCTCACCCTTTATCTCCATCATTCCTGAAAAAGGACATTTTACCATTTTGCTGTAGGGAAAAAGGAATTTGCTGAGAAATCTGTTATCATAGAAGTATTTTCAGTCTGCAAGCAAATGTCTAGTTGTGCACATTTCCATCCTTCAAAACTTCCATTACACGTTTTCCTTGTTTGTACCTTAAAAACAGAAACACAAGAGCAACCATCTGAAAGTGGAGGGTAAAAGCAATGTCATGATCTTCTAGGAAGAGTTAACAGCTCAAATGATCAGGACCAGTCAGGGGCTGAGCTCTGAGTGCTGGGGCCCAAAGAGTAGGGGCGTCTTCCCGGATTCGAGCTCAAGGAACTGGAGGTTGCCGTGGGGTGCTCACCGGTGGCCAGTTTCTTCAGCTCCTGCCCCAAAATGAACTCAGCATTCAGGCCCATGAGAACAGCTATTTTGGGTGTTAGTAATAATATCCTAAATCATGTGCAGAGCTTTAAAATGTCAAAAGCATTATTTCACACCGATGGCCAAGGCTCTCCACACCTATAGACTAGTAGCTAAGCCGGGCCATCTCCCACCTGAACCTAAGCTTGAGGACTAGCCCAGCTGCAGAGGGGCTTGCAGACCACCTCCTTAGATCCTCCTTTAGTGATAACAAACTGAGTTTTTCCCTAAACTTCAAGGGCAATTCCCTTGACCTCCTTTGCTCAAATATGTTTGGATAGGGACATGCACTAGGGCATAAGCAAAGCCTTTCTCCTCCAGCTGGCAATGCCCAGGGTGAGCTAAAGTGCAGAAAGTACAAACCCTCAGAGGTTATAGGACACATAACTCATTTTAGAAAACAAAACCAAACCTCCCTCCACAAAATTCAGAAGACCTCATGTGTAACAAGTGTGTGAATTATTTCATTTGTGGCCAGAGATGGTCTTGAGTAGGGAATGCCTTCAGGTCCTCCCTAGACGTGAGACCCACCTGTGCAGAGCCCACACTCACAGTGATTTCCCTGTCCCTGCCAGGCCTGTGCTTTGTATTTCTTTCACTTGTTTCCTTTTGCCCTCTCCTGCCACGGTGTTGCTCCTGTGTTAGCCAAGACCTAGAGTACCAGGCATCTTCGTTGGAGACTCATTACAGCTTATTTCTATCTGCCTTTCTTTAAAGCCAGCTGAACATACCCAATGCTCTCCCTTTATGGTAAGACCGACCCTCCAGACCACGCTCTTAGCTTCTGTGACCCTCCTCTAACACCCCCATTCTCACCCCCCACCCCCGGTGCCCAGCATCTCTGGGAGCCCAGCCTCGCTCCCGCTGCATGTAGCCACAGTGTATGTCCTGCGCCTCGCCTGCCCGGTCACGTGTGAGCTGTGACGTGCTGTTGTGTAATGGTGTTCCATTCCCTCCCTGAGCTTTCCTCTGGATGATAATTCACTGTGATCTTGACCATCTAATGAGCCACCGGGAGAGAACTGGACCCAAGGGCCATTTCCTGTTAAACATTCTGAGGACTCCACGGGCTAAAGTCTCTAGCTTTAATCCGATGTGGGAAATTTGCACAGGGCGCCCATGAGCACCCTGGTAAGGGCCTCCTGAGAAAAGAGGAAGGAGAGGGATGACCCAGCCGGGAGACAGAAAGTCAGACGATGACTTCCCACTAATCATCCAGGGTCTGTAACTACTGGCCTCCCGTGTGCTCTCAGTTTAAGGCTGCAGTAAACGGTCGTAAGCTGGAATCTGTTACTAAGAGTGTGGCTGAATATCCAGTCATTCCAACAAAGTGACCCATGAATTTTTCTAAATTCCCGAAGTTCATTCACATTAGGCTATGCAGAAAAACAAACTCAGGAGTTTGATGGGAGCACTCCTGATGTAGGACTGTGATTCCTTTGCCTAAAGTGATAGATGCCGCTAGGCGTGACCTTGAAGTCTCCTTGGAACAGGCTTTTCTAAAAAGCTGCCATCACACGTTTCAAAAGTGAGCCAAGTGTGAGTTTTTAAAAGGACCCATGAGTGGGTTGAGTCCCTGAAAGTAGCAGACTGGGGGCAAGATTGGGTCGGCGGCTGGTGCTTCTTAACACAGCGCATCCCAGGCTGGCTGGAAGGCCGCCCAGGAAAAGGCTGAACCTGGACGTTGTACCCTACTTCCCAGGGGCGGCCACTGGGGTCTGCTGTTCCACTGCATTGTCATTTGGTTTATTAGAGGACATTTTTGTGTCTACGAGGAAATGTGTTTATCCTCCTTCTAGAGCGTTAAGAAACTGCAGCTACTGGGGGGAGCGTGCCTACAGGGTGGGGGGTTTGAACTCAGCATGGATTGCAAACCACACGCTTGACTTTTATTTTTTAACTCATCAAATCCAGATGCCCCTGTGGCACCAACTTCTCACACTCTTGACACTCACAGCTGAAGTTCCCCGCTTTAGCTTGTTCTTTCTTCTTTTTTCTCCTTTCCCGAACATGGTGGAACTGACAGCTGAGTTATAAAACCCCAAGCCTCCTCTGCCTACTCCTCTGGGGGAACACAACCTCCTTTTAAGGAGAGAAAATAGAATTTCAAGTAGATACATGGGTGATAGAAATGCAGAGATTAAGGACATCAGAGGCTTCAAAATAAGCAGGCAGGGTAGGGCCCAGGGACAGGACGAGGGCTGCGGCTGGCCTTCCCTCCCCAGCCCCATGGCAGCCTATGGAGCAGGCCCCCTGTGCGGATCTAAGGCAGCTCTGGTTTGAAACTAGAAGAAATACTGTGACTCTCCCCCAGTCTGGAGAGTCAGAGAAGTAGGAGAGACCCTTCCGGCATGGTTTCTGCACAGCCCTCCCAGGGCAGAGCAAGGATGTGCTGGCAAGTGGCAACTACCTGCGTTTTCTGCCGCCCTCTTGGGTCTCCCGTGCAGAGCAGGAGTAAGATGGGTGGCCTCAGGAACCACTGGCCATGTCAGGGATAGTCAGCAGGCCACCGAGTTAGAACGAAGGGCCGGTGGGAGCCCTCAGGGGCATCAGCGCTAGGAGGATTTTCAGGGGTGCAAATAAGGTGTGGACGTTGTCAGGGAGGATTGGCCTGTAAATGATTCAAAAGAAAGCAGAGAATCAAGAAGTGGGGGGGCCGGCACAGATTCTCCCTGCCAGTGACCTGGAGGTCCCCCTCCCTTGAGGGACGCACGCAACAAGGACAGTAACAGGAAGCCCAAAGGTCCACTCTCTCCTGGTGCCAACAGGGCTGGGTGAGCTGCACTAGCTCCAGGGGACGGGCAGGTGGCTCCCCAGGGGCTACCACCGTGGGCTTTCTGGCCAGCATGGGCAGGAAGAGGGGTGGGGGGGGTCAGTCCGTGTTGTTCTCAGGTCTGGAGGTGGAGGGTGACAGGGCAACCTGTCCTGCCCCTGAGCCCTGGCCAGGCACGTGCCCCAGCCCCAGGCCCCTCCAGGACCCACAGGCTGAGGAGGGCCCTCGGCCAGCAGACCCCAGCGGCCTTAGCACCGTGTTCCTGCTTCCACTTGGCTTGGCTTAGATCCAGTTTTTCCTCACCTTCCCCTTGTCTCCCCCTTGCTCCAGGACTCCCCTGAGGACATGATCCGCCCTAAGCAGAACCTCTCTGTCCTCCTACATCGGGGCCTGGACTCATATAGGGCTCACTTAGAGTGCGCCCCCTACACCTTCTAGGGTCTCCTGCAGCCTGGAGAGGGTCGGGGCCTCCCAGAGGCCCCAGAGCGGCAGGGGGAGGGACTAGCAGGGGAACAGCTTCAGTGTCTGAGGTGAGGCAAGGGCTGCAAACAGACACTGTCCGCGGGCTAAGCAATGCCCCTATCCCCCACCGTCCCTGTAGCCACGTGGGAAGAGTGGCACAGCAAGACTTTTGGAGTCCTGAGCTGCCAGGGCACAAGATCCCTACGGTGGGCAACCCACTCCAACCCTAGTCTCTGTCAGTCCATCCTGCCCACCAGGACCCCCAGTGCAATCATACCTGGGGCTGGGATGGAGGCCACACCCACCCAGCCACCTTGCCGAGAGCCAGATCCCATTCGGGATGCATGGCACCCGGCCAGGCCAGACAAGAGGGGGGCTGGGGCTGCTTCCTCAGCATGCAGCCGAGGAGGGTGCGCCTAAGGCAGCTAGCTCTCAGCCTCAATTTCAAAGCGTATGGAAGTTCCTCATGGAATCTTCTGTTGCTCCACCCAGGGGGTTAAGAACTAGGACTGAAGGAGAAAAGGGGAGCACAGATAAACAGGGTTATGGGCTCAAGGGCCTGGGCACAGCTTGGCTCTGCATTGACCTCCGGCCTGGGTTGTCTCCCTGGAAGAGGTGGGCAGCTGGCCTCCCCATCTGTGGCCCAGGGGAGAGAAGCTGGTGCAGCTAACCCTGCCCTGCCCTGCCCTGCCTCCACCCCAAGCAAGGGCTCTGTTGCTCAGAGCAGGGAACACCTCGTTCTTGCCCTGCCCCTCCCTGTTGCTGTGTTAACTACCACCTCCTATTGCCGATGGATTCCAGAACGCAGAGGAGAACTCCCGCATCTCCATCACCTTCTTCCGCCTCTTCCGGGTCATGCGCCTGGTCAAGCTGCTGAGCCGCGGGGAGGGCATTCGGACCCTGCTGTGGACCTTCATCAAGTCCTTCCAGGTAACCACCTCCACCCTCAGCAGGCTGCAAGGAGAACCTCCGCAGCTTACCTGGGCTCCCTGAGCGGGGAGGTGAGGCAGCGCAAGGAAGCGGCACCACCGGGAGCCGAGGGCGGGCTTACCTTGCTACTCAGCCTCCCTCTCTGCCCTTGCTTTCCTCTGGTCTATAATGAGACCTTTGGACTCCATCCGTGGTTTTCAAAAGCATTCTCCTGGAGCCCCAGATTTCCCCAAAGTTGGGGTACAGAAAGCTGGGAGCTAAGGGGGAGGCTGAAGTGGTTCTGCTTTCTTCTCTCATCCGTGCATTTTTCCACAAGAATTTACTGCACAAAGAGGTTTTGTGGTGGAAAATTTTTGAAAAACATGGGCCCAGATGATCTGATAACCTCAGGGACCCTCCCACTTTGGGCAGTTTTAGGATCCATCTGTCACCTTCCTCCCAGTAGGCATTTCTGCAATGTCTGCTGTCCACACCTGTTTGTATACCTAGCCAAACTCTCCAGGACCCTCGTGTCACTCCACTCAAGGAGACACGGCCCCCTCACAGGGGCACAGGGTTGCCTAACTATAGGATTAATTCTCTTTTCTCAGCCATTATTTTCCATCTGTGAAAGCAGAATAATGATCGCCCCTGACCATCTCTGAGGAGTGTTATGTAAGTTTGAAGTTAAAGAGAAGCAAACCTGTGAGGTCACTTGAATTCCTTGAAGATGAGTGGTGTAGGGACCCCTGCATGTACTTCCACGCTTCTGTAGCCCCACACTGACGGCAGCTTCATCCCACCCGCGGAAACACCACTCTCAGGCTTCCGGGCACTGAAGGATTCCTTCCTTGTCCCCGGCCCTAGCCAGTCTGGGCCCAGGGACAGGCACAGAGTGGGTCCCTGATCCAAATGTGCTCAGAACTGAAGTTGCAGCCAGAGGAAGGGCTCTGTGGTCAGGTGCCTGCCTTGCTCTGGAATCCCCTCCCGAAGGCTTACATAAACACCCTTCCAGGCAGCCTCCTGCCCTGGGCCTCATCCGCCCAGGCCCTTCCCTGGACCAGCCTGGCTGCACTCCCCATAGCCAGTCCTCTGCCCACCAGGCCTTCCTGATGAGCTGCAGCTGCCCTCCCTGCTAGCCCCATCCCACCCCACCCTATCCCACCGGTGGGTGCCATACCCTGCCCAGTCCCTGGGAATCTGAGGATTCTGGGGAGAGCGGGACTGGGGGCTGACCCTGTCCGTGGGCACACCCCTGGGGTCCCATAGCCATGATGACTATATAGGCTGCCAACTCCCTCCCCCCTCCCCGCCACACACACACACACACACACATATTTCCAAGGAAAAGGCAACAGACCCAGGTAAGGAGAGGTTTGAATGTGGAGCTGCAGCTCTAACTGGGCAGAAGCAGCATCCGTGTGCTCTCGCAGTGCCATCTAGTGGTGTGTGGACGCCCGGCAAGGCTTTTCCTAGTCGACCGTGTGGCTCTCTGGCTTCCAGAATAGGTCCTGAGCCCCAGAAGGCCTCTCCCCAGGAGAAGCGGCAGGGACTCCGGAAATTTAAGTTGTCTGAGCTCCAGGCAGACTGAATAAAATATATGGGACCCAAATACGTGGAAGGCATTGCACTCAGCCTTTTGTAAGCCTTAAAGCATTTAAACGCCACAGAACCCCTGAGAGGTAATTACATTTCTTCTCATTTTTCAGAAAAGGAAACTGAGGCTCAGAGAGGTTAAGTCATATGGCCAACCTCCCATAACTAGAAAGTGGCAGAAATAGGATTTGAGTCCATGACCTTTCTTCTACTTAAGTTTTTCCTTAGTGATTATTTTTATTACGACTAGCAGGATATCATCAAAGGAAGGGTGTAACCTGCCTCCAACCCACGCCTCCCCAGGAAACCTTGGTGTGTATCCTCCACGGCTTTCTCCTTGCTGTACAAAAACCTATGTCTAGTCAGAGGACATTTTGCTCATTCTTGACTGTTTTTACTCAAGCAGTATCCCACCATATGTATCCCTTACTCCGCAGCCTGCTTTGCTCGGTACACCACACTGCTTCTCAGGTGATTGAAACCAAGGGAAAATGAGAGGTCAGTGCCGTGGTTCAGGCCTTCTCCTGGTGCCCAGAACTTCTGTGGGGCTCTTGGAAATGCCCCTCCCAAAGCCAGGCCGCAGCGCCCCCTGGGAAGGGATCTGGCCAGCCATCCCCCTGCCGGCCTCACGCCCTGTCTCCTGTGCTTCCTTCCAGGCCCTGCCTTATGTGGCTCTTCTGATAGTGATGCTGTTCTTCATCTACGCAGTGATCGGGATGCAGGTAGGACAGCTGGCCCGCTGCGCCTCGGCCTCCTCTTTCTCTTCCCACCTCCCAGCCCCGCGTTCCCGGACACCTCTCTCTTGTTCTTGACGGTCCCTCTGCTTCCACTTCTGAGGCCAAGAATGTCACAGGAATTAGAACATCCCTTCAAATGGTGTCCTGTAGGTAGCAGGGTCAATGGCCATGTGCTGTATGCACCTTCTTTCCCCTTTGCCCCAGGCCCGGTCTCTGCTCTCGGTTGGGAAAAACACTCCCAGATTAACGCCAAGGGCCTCAGGAGAGACAACCCCTTCCAGAAAACAACACGAAGGGTGTGTCAGACAGCATCCCTCCCCTTACCCAGGTCTGACAGCCTGAGAACTGCCCCCCCACCCCAGCACATTAAGGAGAAGCTAATGACAGAGAGGGATGGAGGAAAGAGGGAAAGAAGAAAGGAGAAGGAAGGAAAGAGGGAGTCAGGGAGGCAAGCTCCCCCCATCAAACATGCAGCAGTTTCAAGGGCCTCCCCTCGCAGGTGCCCACTGCACCTTCCCCTACCTCAAACCCCACGGCATTCTCCAAGCAGCCTCTCCTCTGGACTTCAGAGAGTGCCAGGGCCCTGCACTCACACCAGCCAGTACTTTTCCTCAGTGGCTCCCGAAGGAAGACTCCCCTGCTTATTCTTTGCAGAAAGACCCCAGATTCCTAGGCCAAAATCTTCTGAGATGAGAAGAGCTACCCTGCCCCCTCACCAAGGGTGGCAGCTTCTAAGATAGGCATAGCTCTAAAAGGCCAGAAAAATAAGGGGGCCACTCATTTCAGGGATAGATTAAGCTTGCCCACGTCCCAGATCACTCCGAAATCCAAGAACTGTATTTGGAAGAGTGGGCATCTGGGCTGAAATGGCAATGAAAAGAAAGCCAGAGGCTTGAGTTCTGAGGACCTAATGGTGACTGTAATTGATAACAGTGCTGTTTACCTGAAAGTGGCTTTCTCACCACACCAAAAAAAAGCTCCCTATGTTAACTGTGTGAAGTGATGGATGTGTTAATTATCTTGGTCTTGGTAATGATTCTACGAGCATTATACATCAAATCACCACCACACCGTACACTTTAAATATATACAATTATATTTGTTCATTATTCCTCAATAAAGTTTTTTTTTTAAGAGAAAAAATATATATTCTCAAGAATCTGCAGCCAAAAAAGAAGAAGAAGGAGACCAGAGAGCCCTCTGTCCCTGCACAGAAGCATGCTGCTGGTGGCAGCATCCACCTACTCTCAGCCCAACTCCCAGTGGCCCGTAGGGACCTCTCCTGAGGGACCATGGGTTTTTTCTTCTTCCACCTGTCCAGTGTGGTGGATGGAGATCAAGGGCTGGATGGGGCAGCAGGTGCCTACCCCCGCAAGGCCCTGCCAGGTCACATCAAGGGACTCAGTTCAGCTATGGGCTGACCCACAGCCAGCCATGACCCCCGAAGAGACCACTGAACGATGAGTGGACACTAGGACCCTGTCCATCCACCATTCACTGAATCTCCTTCCCCTCCCCCTGCTTAGGTGTTTGGGAAAATTGCCCTGAATGACACCACAGAGATCAACCGGAACAACAACTTCCAGACCTTCCCCCAAGCTGTGCTGCTTCTCTTCAGGTGAGTCTTTGAGGACAGATGCATACAAACACACCTACATGACACAGCCCTTATATTAAGTCTAAATAATTGTTAAGGGAGTTATTAGTTATTAAATAATTATTGCTAATTTTTAAGTATAATAATTACTTTGTGGTTATGTAAAATGTATTGCTTTATTTTTTAAGTATTTAGGGTTGATATAATGATATTACATGAGGCGTGGGATTTGCTTTAAAATATTCCATCATGGAGATAAAAGATACAGAATAGGTAATATAGTCAGTGGTACTGTAATACTGTTGTATGGTGACAGATGGCGGCTACACTCGTGGTGAGCAGAGCATAATGTATAGACTTGTTGAATCACTATGTTGTACACCTGAAACTAATGTAACAGTGTGTGTCAATTTTTTTAAAAAGATTTATTCATTTTAGAGAGAGAGGGAGAGAGAGAGTGCATGTGTGCAAGGGGAGAGGCAGAGGGAGAAGGAGAGAAGCAGACTCCCCGCTGAGGAGGGAGCCCCATGCTAGGCCCCGCACTGGGCTCAGGCTCAGGTTCCATCTCAGGATCCTGAGATCATGACATAAGCTAAAATCAAGAGTTGGATGCTTAACCAACTGAGTCACCCAGGCACCCCTCCTCTTTCAATTTTTTTAAAAGGTGAGAGTGCAAAAGAATAAAATATAAAGTAAAATAAAATAAAATAGTAAAGTAAAATAAAATAAAATAAAATACTTCAGCCAAAAGGGGAGAAGGGGATTGTTGGAGAGATAGATGAAACACACACAACAAAATATTAATGGTTGTTAAGATTGGGTGATGGGTCCATGGGGTTTCTTTGTACTTTCTACTTTTGTATATGGTTGAAAACTTTTGTAATTAATTTTTTAATAAAAAATAATAACTGTTAAAGCAAAATGTCCAAAACCTTAATAGCAATTTGGAAGTGAAATCTCTTACACTCTCAACAAGGTAGTAAGAATGAGATGGTAGAAGAATGAGAAACATCAAAGTGTGCTGACATTCTTCTCTTGTTTATGGAGAGGAAAGAGGTACCATTCAACTTTATACACAGCCAGAGGAAAGTGTGTGAATAAATATGTTAAATATTTGAAGGTCAACCACTAGAGAAACAGAAATGGAATATGTACATTCCAAATCACTAGATGGAAAAAAAAATAGCAAGGGAAAACCTTAGCAATTCTGCAAAAAGAAGGAAAGAAAAAAGGAAGGTGGGGGTAGGGAGGAAAAGAGGGGGAGAGGGAGGAAAAGAAAATTAGAAAATAAAACAAGATGGCAGGAATAAAAAACAAAAATTAATCACTAAAAATTCAATTTCTCTATTAAAAGATAGATACTCTAATGTTGGCTTTAAGAAGTCTGGCTGTAGCCTGTTTATAATAAAGTAAAATAAAGGAATGGGAAAATAAAGGAATGGAAAAAGAATACCAGACAAACTTCCAAAAAAAAAAAAAATTGGTGTAGTAATAACAAATCAGAAGAAATAAAATTCCAGGTGAAAGGCATTAAACAATACAAAGAGGGATATTTGATATTGATAAAAGGTATAATCCACCAAGATTACAAAACAATCATAAAACTACATGAGCCTAACAATATAGTTTGGAAATATATCAAGGAGACGAAAAGAACGGTAAGGAAAAAATGAACACACACACAATGGGAGACATGTAAAAAAAAAAAAATGACAGAGCAAAAAGAACAAAATAAAAGAAAGGGTAAAGAAGATCTAAAAATACAACTGACAAATTTAAGTAAATTTGTAATCAATAGTAAAAAAAAAATTCTTTTTTTTTTAAGATTTTATCTGTTTATTCGACAGAGAGAGTGAGAGTACAAGCAGCGGGGAGCAGTAGAAGGAGAGGGAGAAGCAGGCTTCCCGCTGAGCAGGGAGCCCAATGCGGGACTCGATCCCAGGACCCCGGGATCATGACCTGAGCCGACGGCAGACGCTTAACCATCTGAGCCACCCAGGCACCCCCAAAATACATTCTTTTTAAGCACCCAGAAACATTCACAAAAATCAGCCAAGATTTAAGTCACAAAGAAGAATTCAATAAATTCTAAAACTTCTCTAACTTCAATACAACAAAAATCGGAAATAAACTACAAAATCAATAGTCCCTCCAAAATCTATCCACTTAAATGTTTTGAGTCACTGTTCTAAATAACTCACAGCTGAAGCTGCATACTTCTTAAAAATGGAAGAGTGAGAGCAGTACATCTTAAATTTATAAAACACACCAATCAATACCAAAGAAAATTTCAGAGCCAAAATTTATTTTACAAAATCTATAATAACCAAACTAATGGATGGAAGAAGAATAGCAAAATAACCCCAAAGTATGAAAGAATTCACTTATTAAAATAAAAGCAGAAATTAATAAAATATAAAACAAAAATATTTATCAATAAATCCTAAAACTCTTTGAAAAGACCTATAAATAGACAAACCTATCAAAACCAATTTTTTTAAAAAGGCACAACATCAGGAATAAAAAAAGTAACGTAATTACAGATGTGGAAGAGATTTTTAGAATGATAAACTATTATGAACAAATTAAAAATAGATGATTTTATGTAGGAAAATATAAATCACAAAACTGTCTTAAAAAGAATTTTTTTAATTAACTACAATAGAAATTGAAAAGGTAGTCAAGGTTTTCGTCCTCAAAAAGTTCCAAGATCCAGGGGCACCTGGATGGCACAGTTGGTTAAGTGTCTGACTCTTGGTTTTGGCTCAGGTTGTGATCTCAGTGTCCTGAGGTCCTGGCTCAGCGGGGAGTCTGCTTCTCTCCTTCTCCCTCTGCCCCTCCCCCTACTCCCCCACACAACATTCTCACTCTCTCTCTCTAAAAATAAATAAATCTTAAAAAAAAAAAAAAGTTCCAAGATCCAGTATTTTTCTTTCAAAATATCAAGGAATAGATCATTCCTATGTTATATAAACTTTTCAGGAATAGTAAGGGGGTATAAAATCTCCTCAGTCATTCCACTAAGTCATTCTATAAGGCTAAATAAGGCTAATACCTTATGTATTAAGAAAGAAAAAAAGCAAGAAGTATAAATATGAAAATGTGTAGACATAACTGTCATTTTTGGCAAACAACAGGTTAATCCAAGTAGAATAAAACAAGCAAAGCAACTCAAAACCCTTATAACAATTCATAGGATCAGTAAAGTGGAAGATTAATAAGGGAAAACAATCACTTTCCTGTACTGGTAATTATTAATTTGGTCAGCCTGCTGTAACAAAATACAAAATGGGTGGCTTAAACAACAGACATTTCCTTCTCACACATCTGGAGACTGAAAGTCTGAGATCAAGGTCCTAGCCAATTCAGTTCCTGGTGTAAGCCCTCTACCTGGCCTGCAGACAGCCACCTTATTGCCGTGTCCTCATATGATGGAGAGAAAGAAAGCTCGAGTCTCTCTTCTTGTTCTTATAAAGACACTAATTTTATCATGGGGGCCCCAGCCTTATGACCTGATCTAAGTCTTATTACCTCCTGAGGCCTCACCTGCAAATTTATTGAGGTTTAGGACTTCAACATATGCATTTGGTGGGGACATATTCAGTCTATAATAGGTAATTAGTAAATATAATAGAAAAGAGCACATGCTATCACCTTTTCTATTATATTGCAAATTTTATCCAATGCAATAAGAAAAATAAGAGTAAGAATTACAGAAGTAACAAAATTAAATGCCAAAAAAAAAAAAAAGATTGCCAAACTCAACAACAACAACAAAAACACAATTTTAAAATGGGCAAAAGAGGGGCGCCTGGGGTGGCTCAGTCAGTTAAGCGTCTAACTCTTGACTCAGGTCATGATCTCAGAGTCGTGGGATCAAGCCTCGTCAGGCTCCTTGCTCCACAGGGAGTCTGCTTGAGATTCTCTCTCTCCCTCTCCCTTTGCCCCTCCCCTCTACTCTCTTTCTCTAAAATAAATAAATAAATAAATCTCTTTTTTTTAATGGCCAAAAGACTTGAATAGACATTTCTCCAAAGAAGATATATGAATGGCCAATGAACACATTAAAAGATGCTTAACATCACTAATAATAGGGAAATGTAAATCAAAACCACAGTGAGCTACTACCTCATATTCATTAGGGTGGCTACTATCAAAAAACAAAACAAAACAAAAAACAAGTGTTGCCAAGGATGTGGAGCAATTGGAACCCTTATGCCGTGTTGTGGGATATAAAAAGGCACAGCCATTGTGGAAAACTGTATGATGGTTCCTCAAAAAATTAAAAATGAAATTACCATATGATCCATCAATTCTATCAATATCCCAACCAACTGAAAGCAGGATCTACAAGACATATTTGTACACCCATGTTCACAGCAGCATTATTCACAATGAGTAAAATGTGGAAGCAACCCAAGTGCCCATTGACAGGTGAATAGATAAGCAGAATGTGGTGTATACATACAATGAAATATTATTCAGCCTTGAAAAAGGAAGGAATTCTGCAATATGCTACAACAGGGTTGAACCTTGAGGACAGTATGCTAAGTGAAATAAGCCAGTCATAAAAAGACAAATACTGTGTGATTCCACTTACATGAGTCAAAACTGTAAACACAGAAAGTAGAATGGTGGTTGCCAGGGTCTTGGGGAGAGGAGAATGGAGACTTATTAATAGTCACAGAGTTTCAGTTTTACAAGATGAAAAGAATTATGGGGATGGATGGTGGTGATGGCTGCACAACAATGTGAATATACTTAATATCACTAAACTAAACACTTAAAAATGGTTAAGATGGTAAATTTTATGTTATATGTATTTTACTACAAAAAAGGAAAATAAATAAAACCTCTTTTAAAAATTAATTGCCCATGTAAACTATACAAGAGAACCTGCAGAACTAAGAGAATTCAGCAAATCTTCTATAGATAAAGTCAACTATAGTCCCTCTACATCACTTGCAAACAGGAAATATAACTTCTTAAATGCACTGCTTATAAAAGCAACATTTTGTTTATTTATTTTAAATAAGATACCTAGAAATAATCTAACAAAAGATATACATGGGGGAATTATAAAAATTTCTTAAAAACATTAATAAGGCCTAAATAAATGGAGAGATGTGCCACGTCGATGGCTGGGAGACTTAATGTCCCAAAAATACCAAATTCTCCAAGTTAATCTATGCAATTCCAATAAGACTCTCAGTGAGATTATTCATGGAACTTGATGAGCTGATTCTAATGGGTCTGTGTAAGAAAAAAGGAAAATGAATAACTAAGACAACTTTGAAGAACAACAAGCTGTAAGGACTCACTGTTTATAAGAGAGCAAGACTTAATATAAAGCTTCGTGATTAAGACAATGTGGTCCATTGGTACCAACAGACAAATAAACCTACAGAATAGAATGAAAAGGCTAGCACGAGACCCACACATCTATGGAAATATAATTTATGTCAGAAAGGATAGCTCAAATCAGTAGGCAAAGATGAACTACTCAGTAAATTGTATTAAGAAAATTGGTTATCTACACAGGAAAAGATAAAGCGTATGTCTACCTTATATCAAGCACAAAAATAAATTCCAGATTAATGGGTTATTACATAAAATAAAATTTTAGGATTTTTAGAATATATAGGAGACTATCTTTATGACCTAGAATAAGGAAGGATTTCTTCAAACAAGACGGCAAAATGCACAGTGAAATTTAAATTTTAGCTTCATCAGGGGTGCCTGGGTGGTTCAGTCAGTCGGTTAAGTGTCCAACTCTTGATTTCAGCTCAGGTCATGAACTCAGGGTCATGGGATCAAGCTTCCTGTCTGGCTCCGCACTCAGTGGGGAGTCTGCTTGAGATTCTCTCCCTCTCCCTCTGCCCCTCCCCAAGCTCACTCTATCTCCATCTCTCTCTCTCTCTCAAATATATAAATAAATCTTAAAAAAATAAAATAAAATTGGGGTGCCTGGGTGGCTCAGTCGTTAAGCATCTGCCTTCGGCTCAGGTCATGATCCCAGGGTCCTGGGATCGAGCCCTGCATCAGGCTCCCTGTGCTCAGCAGGAAGTCTGCTTCTCCCTCACCCACTCCCCCTGCTTGTGTTCCCTCTCTCGCTGTCTCTCTCTCTGTCAAATAAATAAATAAAATCTAAATAAAATAAAATAAAATAAAATTTAGATTCATTAAAATAAATAGGCTTCACCATAAATAAGGCTGTAGACAAGCCACAGACTTGAAGAAGGTACTTACTATGCATGTAACTGACAAAGAATTAATGGAAAGAATATATAAGAACAAACCACAAATGAACAAGAAGACAAATAACCGAGGAGACAAACAGACTAAAATATGAACATGTAGTTCAACAGAAGATGAAATAAAAATTCTTAACCCATTAATCATTTAAACCCAAATTAAGACAGCAATGAAATATCATTTCACACCCATCATATGAGCAAATTTTTTAAAAATTCACTAAGACAAAGAGTTGACAAGTTTAGGGGGCGCCTGGGTGGCTCAGATGGTTAAGCGTCTGCCTTCAGCTCAGGTCATGATCTCCAGGTCCTGGGATCGAGCCCCACGTTGGGCTCTCTGCTCAGCGGGAAGTCTGCTTCTCCCTCTGCCTCTGCCTCTCCCCCTGCTTGTGCTCTCTCTGTCTCTCTTTCTCTCAAATGAATAAATAAAATCTTTAAAAAAAAAAAAAAGAGTTGACAAGTCTAAACTCATAGAATCAGAGAGTAGAAAAGGAGTTGCCAAGAGCTGGATGGGGTGGGGATAGGAAGAAGTTAGTAGAAGGCACACACTTTCAGCTATAAGATAAAGAAAGTCTGAAGATCTAAGTGTAACATGGTGATGATAGTTGATAACACTGTATTAGATACTTGAAATTTGCTAAGATCTGAAATGTGCTCATCAAAAAAAAAGAGATAAATATGTGAAGTGATGAGTGTGTTAATTAACTAGGTGGGAGGAGTCCTTGCACAATGTAGCACTGAATCAAATCATCACGACAGACACTTTAAATATCTTACAATTTTATTTGCCAATTATAGCTCAGTAAAACCGAAAAAAAGTTGACAGGTCTGCAAAGCAATGGCATTTGTCCTGCACTGATGACAGGAACATAAATTGCACAAACCCTTGGAGAACCAGCAAAACTAGTGAAAGTGAAGACATACCTACTTCAGCTGGCAAGTCCACTTTCTAAGCAGATATCCAAGGCATGGACCTGCATGCTGATTGCAGGGTTCTTTATAATAGCAAAAAAGAAAGGAGAAACTTTTAACAGGACAGCAGGTTTTTAAAAATGGTATATACAGGGCACCTGGGTGGCTCAGTCGGTTAAGCGTCTGCCTTCGGCTCAGGTCATGATCCCAGGGTCCTGGGATCAAGCCCCATATCAGGCTCCCTGCTTAGCAGGGAGTCTGCTTCTCCCTCTGCCTCTGCTCATGCTCTCACTTTCTCTCAAATAAATAAATAAAATCTTTTTTAAAAATTGGTATATACATAGAATATACTGCTATATGGCAGTTAAGATGAATGAACTAGAGCCTAATGGATAAATCTCCAAAACTTAACATGAATGGCAAAAAGAGGGACTTTTCAGAAGAGGTGGTTTGTGACCATTTATGGAGTTTTAAAACATTCAAAACAATGCTATGTATCTTCATATTTAGTAAATGTATCAGAGCATTCAGGGAATGATAAACACCAAATTCAATTTAGTAGTTCCCTCTGGGGAAGGAGGATGGGGCAAGGGGTGAGGGAAAGATCCAGAGATATGAGATGGGCCCCACAGGTGGTGGACTCTCTCACTGCTCTCCCCTAGGTGTGCCACAGGGGAGGCATGGCAGGACATCATGCTGGCCTGCATGCCAGGGAAGAAGTGTGCCCCCGAGTCGGAGCCCAGCAACAGCACAGAAGGCGAAATGCCCTGTGGCAGCAGCTTCGCGGTCTTCTACTTCATCAGCTTCTACATGCTCTGTGCCTTCCTGGTAAGCCAAGGTGGGACTGAACAGCCACAGGTTGTGAGTGTGCAGTTCAAGGCAGCCCAGGCCTTCTATCTATCTGCAGCTTGCAGTCAGAGGAACCAGCTTGGAAAGACTCAGTTAGTAGCAATTTCCAACCACTAGACAAGGGCACAAAACCCTGGGCAAGAGCGACCCAACCAGCACTTTTCTCATCTCTTCTTGGCTCTTGTCATGGTGGCATTGTCCCGGGGACAGGAGAGATGTGTGTGGAGGCCTAGAGGCAACCGATATGTTTTGGACACTTTGATGAGGAGTGTGGGGAAGGATGGTGGGGAAAGCTGCCCTCTGTCCTTGGCAGCCCTACCCAGCAGTTTGGTATGAGGGAAGATGTCCAGTCCACATGTGGGGTTCATCCCACACCACTCTGAGGGGACCTGTGTCAGGTTCATGCCCAAGAGACCCAAGTTCCAGGGGCTGATGTTTTAAATGGTGAATATAGCTGGTCTTTAGAAATGTGGGCTTCTGCCACGTATGACACTGGCTGGCAAAGTGAATTCAAGTAGCAAGAAACTCATCATATCTCTGTTCTCTGCAGATCATCAACCTCTTTGTAGCCGTCATCATGGACAACTTTGACTACCTGACAAGGGACTGGTCAATTCTTGGTCCCCATCATCTGGATGAATTTAAAAGAATCTGGGCAGAGTATGATCCTGAAGCCAAGTAAGTTTCCAGAGGGAAACACTGATTCTCAAAGCCCAGAGGACACTATGTGACCATACCTATAGAAGAGGTTCAACACAGGTTAGCGTTGGGTAGATCAGTTAGAAACACTGAACTGCACCAGACCCCAGGGTCAAGGGTCAAGGGCCAGTAATAGGAGGCCAAGCATCTTTGGCTAAGTCAAGAGCATATCTATTTTCAGTTGGGCAGAAAGACTGGAGATCCTAGTGTCAGGAATAACTAGTAAGTATTTAAGTTAAAATGTTTAGAGTCAAGCAGATCTCACCTCTATTCTCGCCTCGGGTTCAAGGATACCCTCATTGGTCAATCACATTTGGTTAAAATAAATGCCTTTTGGTCAGATGGTTAGATTGCAGCAGCAAGTATATGTGAAAATCTCATTGCACTACCCCAAGTCCCTTCCACCTTGAACATAGCACTGGTGGAAAATTGTTCATTAAAATCTAAACATGTGGGGTGCCTGAGTGGGTCAGTTGTTAAGCCTTCGGCTCAGGTCATGATCCCAGGGTCCTGGGATCAAGCCCCGCATCGGGCTCCCTGCTCAGCAGGAAGCCTGCTTCTCCCTCCCCCACTCCCCCTGCTTGTGTTCCCTCTCTCGCTGTCTCTGTCTGTCAAATAAATAAATAAAACTTTAAAAAAATAAAATAAAATCTAAACATGTATATATTGGTTTGGAGTTTTACCATGCAATTCTGCAACTTTGCACTGAGTTTGACCAATAGGGCGACAGCTATGGAGAGCCTGGTACATGAGTCCTGGGCTGCAGGCTGAGACCATGGCCCTCTGACTGATCTTTCCCTCCTCTCCTTCCTCTTTTAGGGGTCGTATCAAACACCTAGATGTGGTGACCCTACTCCGGCGGATTCAGCCCCCACTGGGTTTTGGGAAGTTGTGCCCTCACCGCGTGGCTTGCAAAGTAAGAGACCTGGGTTCATAGGGGAAAAAGAAAATATGGGAGGGAAGAAGCTTATTTGTCTTGTGACCTTGGTCAGGCCATTGATCCTTTAAGGGAGTGAAGATATTTTATGTGCTAAAGAAATGAGACTGAGCCAGATTATATTTTAAGGTTCCTTCCAACCATAAGTCCTCAGACTCCATAAAGGAAAACTGAAGTGAATGCCTCATGATCCAACAAGCCACATGCCCAGTCCCATCAGGCTGTACCATCTAGGCATCCTGGAAGACTTCCAGCCAAGGATGGATGGATTAGGGGTTCCCTTCCTGGGATCAAAGGGCTATTAAAGAGTCCATGCATCAGCTTCAGGGACCTATAAAGCCCTAAAATTATGTACAAAACCACTGAAATACAAATTGTACCAGGGAGAGAATCCATCATGTTCATCAGATTTCTAAGTGAGTCCATGACCCCATAAAAGTTAAAGACAAGATAGGCTCTTTAGACCCAACTCCTGCTCATGTAGCCCTCGCATGATCCTGAGAGTGAGCACCCCTTAAACTGTGTGCCCAGGCACCTCCCTTACCTCGCTGTAATCCCAACCAGATAGCCCTACAATAGCTGAAGAGTATTGTTTCTACTCTATCCCCTCTTCATTTAATTCCCATTTCCACCATTCTGTACTCCCTGTTGGAATAACAATGAGCCAAAAGGGGTTGGGGGAAGTGAGGTAAAAGAGCTGTATAGAAGAAGCACAAATAGAAAAATTCAACTCCGGATAATCCACTCATGGGAAATGGAGAATTGAATTGTACTCTGTTTCATTCAGTGTTTTCTCACTTAAATCTCCACTTTGTTCCCCAAAAAAAAGATTTTAGAAGATTTCCAAGGTTACAGAAGATATGAGGGGAAAAAAGCACAAATTAAATGTGAAGTCAAAGCACAATGGACAAAAGAGCAGGGACAAGTGTGGCCTGCATGAGGTGATAGAGCATCCATCATGGCCTCCAGATGGGCCTGGACAGGCTACCAATTGGGTGTTCAGCTTCCCAGTGACTGCTCCACAATTCACACTGTCCATGAGAGTCAAGAAGATCCAGTCACTGGGGCACCTGGGTGGCTCAGTCGTTAAGCGTCTGTCTTCAGCTCAGGTCATGATCCCAGGGTTCTGGGATCGAGCCCCGCATCGGGCTCCCTGCCCCGCAGGAAGCCTGCTTCTCCCTCTCCCACTCCCCCTGCTTGTGTTCCCTCTCTCGCTATGTCTCTCTCTGTAAAATAAATAAAAAATCTTTAAAAAAAAAGAAGATCCAGTCACTCAGGAAAATTATAACTCTGCTTGACACTATGATTAATAAGAGGACACCATGTGATCTAACAAATAAATTCTTTGACCACACCTTGAGAGCAAATGCCAGAACGACTTTCATGGTGCTCTTTCTCATAATTACTCTGGTGTGTGCTGAAGGCCCCACACCAGGGCACAATGCAATGGCAGCAATTTGGGGTGGTGAGAAAGGAGGGAAAAGGGCAATTCAATCTTATCCAGTCAACAAGCTTTTGACGCAGCTTGATGCAGAGGTATGTTTTTCAATATACAGAAAAGAAGATACACTGCACCTCCTTCATGCAAACCTACCATTACTGTCTCTCTTATCAGGGCTTTGGATGAACGTTGGCTGGCAGGTGGGCTCCTGGCAAGTGCCTGGCATGCAGCTGTTCTTTGTTGCCAGTAGAGAGCACACCCATATGCCTGAGTAGACATTTGAGCTGAGGAGGGGGTTGGGTGGGCTTAACATCCTTTTGTGAAAGCAAGGGTCTAATAAGGACAAACTCCATTCCTCTCTCACTCTGTGTGGAAGGGTGAGAGTACTTATGGCAGAGCTGAAATTCTCCCCAGAAGAGGTTTTGAATACATTTTAGTGACCCATGCCTCAAACCCCTACATGCTCCTGACATATGCACACAAGTTTGAAGTCTCCCTCCCAAAATTCTCCTGCCATGGTGGTTCTGTAGGTCCTTTGAGAACTGTTTGCTATAATCACCAGCTTTTCCTCCTCTTCCCCTCCAGCGCCTGGTCTCCATGAACATGCCTCTGAACAGTGATGGGACAGTCATGTTCAATGCCACCCTGTTTGCCCTGGTCCGGACAGCCCTGCGAATTAAAACAGAAGGTAAATGTCATCTGAGGGCTACTGGGAGAGCCACTCAGAAGATCTAGCTGACTACCCAAACAGCTTGCAAAATGCTCCCAGGATCTTCCCATTCTACGTAGTATCAGAGCAGTGGTTGAGTGATAACCTTCACATCCAGGGATGTTGAAGAGGCCTAGCCCACTCTTGTTTCCTTTGCTCCTTCAATGGCCTTTTGGTCTCTAGCTTATTTACTTTGAATTTTAGCCTCCCATTAATTTCTAAAAATTATTCTGGGTGATATCTTGAAGTCATAGCTTATAGTTCAAAAAGCAGAAGGTGATTAGTGTTACCTAAAGCAGGGCTAAGCCCCATCTAAATGGAATTTTACTAACTGTGTGGATCTCTCAAATGCTTAACTTGCTTTTTAAATTAGAACTGTCAGAAAGGGGTCATATTGGCAAATGGTGACTATGGCCAAAGTCATCACATACAATTGTACAGGCTGTGCCTGGATCAAGGTGCTCAGCCAGCCAACAGGTATGGGCTAAGATCTCACCTGTGCTCTACTGGTTGGGCCTTGCTCCCTCAGGGCTGTGTTCACCTGAAGAGATGCCTTCTGGTTTGCACAAAGGTACCCTATGGGCTAGCAGCAGCCTTGGCTGAGATAACCTGCTGTCCTTATAACTGATAAGTATTTCTGAGCCATTCTGTTGAAAAAGCTATATAGAATATACCTAAGAAGGTGTGATTGCTCGCCAAGAGCTTCTAGCTTATTATATAGTGTTTTACAGAGTATGGTCAAAAGACCACCTGCCTCGGATTCAGCTGTTGAAGTTTGTTTAAAATGTGATAAGTCATTTATTCTCTCTCTACTTCAGCTCCTTCATTTGTAAAATAAGAAAGATAATGACATGTGGAAATTCAGTTCAGTGAATAATCCAGCAGAGAAGTGCCTTTTCTCAGTTAAATCCTTCCCGAAAATAATAGAAACATCTAAAATGGAGGAAAATAAGAAGCAGGCCAGCAAGACACATGTTAAAATAATGAGCTAATCTTTAAAAAATTAAAAATAGTTCAAGTTATGCTGCTGAACTAAAGAGAAACAAGGCTAAGGGAGGCGGTCCAAGATGCTGGCATAGGAAGACCCTGAACTCACCTCCTCCCAAGGACACACCAAATCTACACCCACATATGGAGCTATTCATCTGGAAGAACTGAGTGTTGATTGAACAACTTCTATACAACAAAAGTTAAGGGACCACACAGAGAATGGCAGGAAAGATGAAGACATGGTAACCATGGGAAACCCTCCCCACCAAACCAATGTGAAAACCTGCGGTGAGGAAAGATAGTACTGGGGGCCCTATACCCAAACTCACCCACCCTGGGACACAGGAAAAACAGTGGCTTAAAGGGAAACAAGACTATAAGTGAAGGAAATCCATTTATGTCCACTAAATGGCAGGAAAGGGGAACTACTGGAACTCTCTCCAGGTTGGAGGTACCAACAACACCATTGTTTACATTCCCCTCCACCTTGCTAGTGCAGATGGGAGCAGGGACCAGGTGCTCTAGCTGGCCTGCTAGGGTTACTCCAGTGAGCCCTAGGCCCTTAGCCCACACCAGCTCTCCCCACCCATGCCTGCCCCAGTTCCAACCACCCTACCAAGTTGACCTCCAGTCTCAGTGTACCCCAGGATACCCCCAGCCAGTGCCTGCTCCAGCTTTAGCCATTCCATCAGGGTAGTCCAGGCATAGTGTGCCCCTGGATTCCCCCAGGCCATGTTGGCTTCAGCTCTGCCCAGCCAGCCAAAACTTCCAGGCACACACAATGTACACAGGGGACATTCCTACACAAGGCTACTCCTTAAGACTGAGAGTGGTGGCAATTCCACCTAGTTTATAGAGACTAACACTGAAAGTCAAACAAAATGAGGAGGCAGAAGAGTATGTTCTAAATGAAAGAACAAGATAAAACCCCAGGAGGAAAAACCCTGATGAAATGGAGATAGGTAACTTATCAGACAAAGTAGAGTAAAGTAATGGCCATAAAAATGCTCACCAAACTCAGGAGAAGAATGGAGGAACACAGTAAGAACCTCAACAAAGAGTTAGAAAATATAAGAAAGTACCAAAGAGGAGTAACAGAGCTGAAGAATACGATAATTGAATTGAAAAATACACTAGGAGTCAACAGCAGATTCGATGATACAGAAGAATGGATCAGCAATCTAGAAGACAGAACAGTGGAAATCACCCAGTCAGAACAGCAAAAAGAAAAAAGAATTTTTAAAAATGAGAATAATTTTAACTTCCCTAATCTGGGGAAGGAAACAGGCATTCAAGTCCAGGAGGCAGAGAACCCCCCTCAAAATCAATAAAAATAGGTCAACACCTCAACATATAATAGTGAAGCTTGCAAATTTCAGAGATAAAGAGAAAATCCTGGAAGCAGCTCGGGACAAAACATTCTTAACCTACGAGGGTAGAAACAAGGCTAGCAGCAGACCTCTCCACAGAGACCTGGCAGACCAGAATGGACTGGCATGATATATTCATTGTGCTAAGTGGGAAAATATGCAGCCAAGAATAGCTGTCATTCAGAATAGAAAGAGAGATAAAGAGTGTCCAGGACAAACAAAAGCTAAAGGAATTTGTGAACACCAAACCAGCCCTGCAAGAAATGTTAAAGGGCATCCATTGAATGAAGGGAGAGCCCAAAAGTAACAAAGACCAGAAAGGAACAATCTACAGAAACAATGACTTTATAGGTAATACAATGGCACTAACTTCAGATCTTTCAATAATTACTCTGAATATAAATGGACTAAATGGAGATATCGGAGGATAAACGGCAGCGGGAGGGTGCCTGGACATGGGGATCTGACACCGCCGGTGAGTGACAGCCTCCCGCGCTGTGGACGGGGCACAGACTCGCAGACCGGTAGCGTCAGGAAAGGACTTTAGGGTAGCCCCCAGGGTGGAAAACCAGAGCGGTGGGGTTGCGCACACGCGAACTGCAGCCCCCCAGACAGAAACCCGGAGCAGCGGAGTCGCGCGTGCATGAACTGGAAGCAGTTGGCGGTTTTAGAAGCACAAAGGGCAGAGACGTGCCCCGACCTGGAGGCAGGACTGGGAGCGCTGCAGAGGGGCGCACAACCCAGGACGCTGCAGTTTATAGCAGCACTGACAGAAACGGAGAGGGTGTGGCCTGGAGAGCTCAATGAAGAACAGACTGCAGTCTCTCTGCTCTGAGGCAGAGGGTTGGAAACGGTCTCTTCTGCTCTGACTCGCAGAAGAGACTCGGAAAGCCATCAGGGAAAGGCGCCAGAGAACAAAAGCCCCAAAGACTGATTCCCGCTGAGCCCATCCCCTGCCACAGGGGCGCAGGGCAACTCCACCCAAACGGGGTTGCCTGAGTAACAGCGCGGCAGGCCCCTCCCACAGAAGACGGGCTGGGAAAACAAGAGGCCAGCAACCCTAAGGTCCCAAGAAAACAGGTGCATCTTGCTTGGGTTCTGGTCAATAATTTGGACTCTATACATTCCCTCAAACACTCATCAACAGAATGACTAGGAGGAGGAGCCCCCAAAACAGAAAAGACTCAGAGATTATGACTTATGCTGCAGATTTACAAATGGATGCAGATATAACCAAGATGTCGGAGATGGAATTCAGGCTAGCAATTGTGAAGACAATGGCTAGAATGGAGAAATCAATTAATGGCAACATAGAGTCTCTAAGGGCAGAAATAAAAGGTGAATTGGCAGAACTTAAACATGCTATCAATGAGATCCAATCCAATCTAGATAATCTAACAGCTAGGGTAACTGAGACAGAAGAGAGAATAAGCGACCTGGAAGACAATGTAATAGAAAGGGAAAAGAGGAGGCCAGGGAAAAACAACTCAGAATCCATGAAAATAGAATCAGAGAAATAAGTGACACCATGAGGCGTTCCAATGTCAGAATAATTGGAATCCCGGAGGGAGTGGAGAGAGAGAGAGGACTAGAAGATGTATTTGAGCAAATCATAGCTGAGAACTTCCCTAATCTGGAGAATGAAACAAACATTCGAGTCCTAGAGGCAGAGAGGACCCCTCCTAAGATCAAGGAAAACAGGCCAACACCCCGGCATGTAATAGTAAAACTTGCAAATCTTAGAACCAAGGAAACCATCTTAAGGGCAGTTAGGGGGAAGAGATTCCTTACGTACAGAGGGAGGAACATCAGAATAACGTCAGACCTATCCACAGAGACCTGGCAAGCCAGAAAGGCCTGGCAAGACATATTCAGGGTACTAAATGAGAAGAACATGCAGCCAAGAATACTTTATCCGGCAAGGCTTTCATTTAGAATGGATGGAGAGATGCAGAGCCTTCCACGACTGGCAGAAGTTGAAAGAATATGTGACCACTAAGCCGGCCCTGCAAGAAATATTAAGGGGGTTCTATAAAAGGAGAAAGACCCCAAGAGTGATCTACAACAGAAATTTACAGGGACGATCTATAAAAACAACGTCTTCACAGGCAACATGATGACAATTAATTCGTATCTTTCAATAATCACTCTCAATGTGAATGGCCTAAACGCTTCCATAAAACGGCACAGGGTTGCAGATTGGATAAAAAGACAGGACCCATCCATATGCTGTCTACAAGAGACTCATTTTGAACCTAAAGATACATCCAGACTGAAAGTGAAGGGATGGAGATCCATTTTCCATGCCAGCGGACCTCAAAAGAAAGCTGGGGTAGCAATTCTTATATCAGACAAATTAGATTTTAAACTAAAGTCTGTAATAAGAGACACAGAAGGACACTCTATCATTCTTAAAGGGTCTATCCAACAAGAAGATCTAACAATTGTAAATATCTATGCCCCCAACATGGAAGCAGCCATCTACATAAGCCAACTGTTAACCAAAATAAAGAGTTATATTGATAACAATACGTTAATTGTAGGAGACCTCAGTACTCCACTCTCAGCAATGGACAGATCATCTAAGCAGAAAATCAACAAGGAAACAAGAGCTTTGAA